TGATGGTAAAATTTGGATATGCCTAATAACTTGAGTCAAGATGTTATAAGAATGGGAAAAAATGTGGAAGAGTTGATCAATTATTTCTGATATTTTCAAGAACAAGTAGGAAAATTTAAATATATAACTTGTCATTTTGATTTAATGGGCATTTAAAAAATACATTATAACCCCAAATTAACAACATTCATTTCTTTTAATCATGCATGTGTTTTGAGATTAATCACATGTGCTTAGCCATGATTCTCCAGGTATTTCAAAAGGCTGGTAGACTTTCAGTCCAACAAACAATAAAATTAGAAATAAAATAACAGAACCAAGAAAATTGAAAATTGGATATGGTAGAATCTTAAAAAAAAAAGAAAAGGAACAAACAAAACTAGAAAACAACCCAGCTAACTCATGAGTACCAAAAAATGAATCACAATGGGCCTGATGGTTCAATTGACTCATCCTCCCCTTGTAAGCACCAAGATCCCATATGGACAGCGGTTGATATCCAGGTTGCTCCATTTCCCATCCAGCACCCTATTTGTGGCATGGGAAGGCAGAAGAGGATGGATGATCCAAAGCCTTGGATCCTGCACCCACATGAAAGACCTAGATGGAGTGCCTGGCTTTTGATTGGCTCAGCTCTGGTCATTGTGGCCACTTGGAAAGTGAAAACAGTGTGTGAAAGATCTCTCTCTGTGTCTCTCATTCTCACTGTAAATCTGCCTTTCCAGTGAAATAAATAAATCTTTTAAAAATGAAATACGAAATTGAAAATTAGATATACTCAGAAAAGAATTAAAATATTACTTGTTAAGTTTTGGGTACATTTTTAGTTGTCACACACAGTCATTACCAATGTAAGATCATTGTTTTAAGAACATTATGAATATACATTTTAAAATATTTCTTTGTGGGTTTTTCTTTTTTTCTTTTGAAAGGCCTAGTGATGGAAATGGAAAGACTTTCCATTAACTGAGTCACTCCCCAGATGTCAATGGCCAAATCTGGGCCATGATGAAGTCAAGAGCCAGAGATTCCATTGCTGGCTTTACATGTGGGTGACACAGCCAAACTACTTCAACTGTTTTCCTTTGCTGTACTAGGCATGTTGGCAGGAAGCTGTAATAGCAGTGGTGTAGCCAGGATTTCCTGGTACACTGAACTGGCATGCTGGAGTAGTAAGCAGCATGGCGTTGGGCAACAACACCAGGCCAAAGCACTTTAACAACATCAGCTAATTGAACTGGCATAATGATGATAGCATTGCTGTTATCACTCCCATTCTTATAACTGAGAAAGCTGGAGAGCAAAGATTTTAAGTATATTGACCAAACTAATATGAATTTTAGTATTGTAATGCAGAGTAAACTTACGTCCGGTGTGGGAGCAGAATATACTCCCTTAGACATTATGCTATATACATTACTTTGCAATAACCTGATCCATATGGATAGGCTATGTAATAACCTTTTGGCAAGAAACTTAGACATTTTGATAAATTGAATAATTGCATGAGAAAAATTTAATAAGAAAAAGATTGAGACATAAAAAATTCAACTATTACAAATTTTTCTCTTGTTAAAATATCAACAAACTTAAAATTTATATTATTGTAGGATAATGTGAATTCCCTTATATATATATACATGTGTCATGTTCTATCAGTTTAAATAAATCTCATTTAGCATTTCTTCATAGTGAAAGTACTAAAATGATACCTAGTAGGTTTTTAAAATAAAGAAATATATAGTATATTAACGCTATGTACACTCAGCTTATTGTGCAATGAAACTCTAAAATATCTCACTCTTATTATAAGTAGTTTTAACTTACTAAACTGATTAATTAAATCCACAATTTTTTTTTCTCTAACAGAATATTTATTTTCCAAAAGTCAAATCAAATAATATATAATTTTAACTAGGTGCATTTTCAGAAAATAATAAAAAGACGTTACATAACTCAAAGCAATCTACAAATTCCCAGTGTCATTGTATATAGAATCTCAGTGTCCTCCAATAAAATAAATAAAAAGGAGGCCAAAATTCACATGGATCTACAGAAGAATCTGAATAGCCAAAGGAACCTTAGATCAGGAAAACAATTAGGTAGCACCATACTCTTAAATTTCAAAATTCAAAACTATTTCAGTACTATAGCACTGAAATAAAGAGACACAGAACAATGGAGAATTCTCATGAAAATAAGACATGCACACATAAAGAACTAATCAATGAAGGGTGTGCCAAGAGAACACAATGAAGAAGAAAAACTGAATATCTAAATATAAAATCAACTTGGACCATTATATCATATAAGAAACAAATAAAATTGCAATGTAGACTTAAATATTATAACTTAAACAAGCACAACAAAAACATGTTTTAGCATCAGTACAATCAGCCAGCATATATTTTTTGTGTATGATATACATCATAGGCACCAAAACATAGGCAATGAAAGAAAAATGTGCATTTATCAAACTAAGAGGCTTTTGTATAGCAAAACACATATTAAACACATGAATAGTCAACTTACAGAATTATAGAAAATATAATCAAATCATATAATAAAGTGTCAATATCCAGCATATATACATACATACAACTTCATATAAGAAAAAATTGTTCAGATTCAACTATGACATTGAATAATTTAAAAATTCTCAAAAAGAGGCATGTAAGTAACAAAAAGGGATATGGAAAAGGTGCTTAATATTCTACATCAACAGAAAAATGCAGATACAAATCACATCATGATATGGTTTCACACCTATTGGGAAGACGTTATCAGGAACAACAACAAAAAAAAAATGTTTTAGGTTGTGAAGAAAAGGGAGCCATTGAGCACTGTTAGTTGTCTTGTAAATCACTGCAATTATTACAGAAAAGGGGATGGAGGTACTAGAATGATTAAAATAGGGCTACCTTTCAATACACCAATTCCAAACTGTATACATTCAAAGGAACTGATATCAGTATGTTTTCATTTTAAAAATATATATTTTTATTGAAAAGGCAGACTTACAAAGAGAATTAAAGATAAGAAAGACCCCTGTTTGCTAGGGAGTTGATGGAAATCAGTATGTTTAGAAGTTATCCACACTTCCATGTTTATTGTGGTACTGTTTATAATAACCAGTGTTTAAAAACAACCATTGTTTGTTGAAGACAAACTGAAGTAGAGTTATTCTTTTTTATTTGTGGAAGATTCATTTCAGGATAACAGAGGATACCATTATCCATGAATGCATAAATCCTTAATATGAAATGGTACATTATTTACATATGAACTCTCCTGCATCTTGAATTATTCTAAATTGCTTAAGTTTTTAAGTTTCTCATCACACACACACACACACACACACACACACACACACACACACACACACACAATAACTAGGTGGGGTGATAGATACACCAATTAGCTTGAACACAGTGATTTTTTCCCTAATTCATACACACAGAAAATAGATTTTTATGCTTAAAATGTACACAACTTTTAATAGTCTACTATACCTCAAGATTGTGAATCTTAAAAAGAAAAGACGCTGCTTTAAAAGCAAAACATAGAGCCCGGCACAATACCCTCGTGGCTAAAGTTCTTGCCTTGCGCGCATTGGGATCCCATATGGGCACTGGGTCGGTCTAATCCTGGCAGCCCTGCTTCCCATTCAGTTCCCTGCTTGTGGCCTGGGAAAGCAATCCAGAGCAGCCCATAGCCTTGGGACCCTTCACTCACATGGGAGACCCGCAAAAGGCTCCAGGCTCCTGGCTTCAGATCAGCTAAGTTTGGGCTGCTGCTGCCACTTGAGGAATGAATCAGAGGACAGAAGATCTTCTTCTCTGTTCCTCCTCCTCTATGTATATCTATCTGACTTTGCAACAAAAATAAACAATTTTTTTTTTAAAAAGCAGAACATAATCGACACAAACCTAAACAGCAAAATTTTCAGTGTTTTTTAATATTAGTGTTGACTTAACAACAACAAAAGTTTCTTAGCATCTTTTGTGTCTCAGCTGTGGTCTGTTTTGTGAAATTTTACGACCCTTGTTTGGTGTAGACATTGTATTAGGCCTTTTGATTTTTATACATGTCTAATTGTTATAGTTTTTGATTTGAGAGAAACAGAGCACTCATCTACTCGTTCAGTTCTGAAATGCTCCCAATGGCAGGAAGTGGGTTGGAACCAGATTCAGGTGCAGAGAGCCCAATCTAAGTCTCTCAGGAGAATTACAGGGTACGAAGCCTTTGAACCATTTCTGTGTCTCCCGCAGTCTGTTTTAGCAGAGCCAGAAATCTAAATGTGATACTTGTATACAAAATCCAAGTGTCTAAAAAGACACACCCACAACACCCAAAGCTGTTCCAGGCTCACTCTGCTACAACTCTGTCCTCATACACATGTGTCTTAACTGCTGGGTTGAATATCCATCCCCATTCCTACTATTTTACTGTACTTATCATACTGCGTAGCAATGGCTACCTCCATAATGTATGCTAAAAAAATATATGAATAAAATCATGGTTTCTCTTTTTTGAATGTTCAAATTTATCACTATATTGAGCTTAAAGGAGCTGAATAAATATCAGTTGAAACAATCATTCAACACATTGTGATTTCAGAAGCTGGCGCAGTGATGCTGGCATTACTTCTCTGCCTTGTGTCACTGGAATCCCACATGAGAGCCAATAGACATCCTGGTTTTTTTTTTTTCTTTTGATCCAGCTCTCTGGTAATTGCCTGGGAAAGCAATGGAGGATAGCCAAGTCCTTGGAATCCTGTACTTATGTGGGAGATTAACAAGAAACTCCTGGCTCTCAGCTTTGATTCAACTCAACTCTGGCCATTTGTGACTATTTGGGGAGTGGACCAGTAGATAGAAGAATCAATCTCTCTCTCTCTGTGTGTGTGTGTGTAAAATCTGCCTTTTAAATAAAAATAAATAAATCTCTGTTTAAACATAGATGACATGATTCCATCGATAACTGCTACAGACCCTTACCTGGTTCGCAGAAGTGGCTTGATCTCTTAGCTGTTCTTTGATTCCAGTCAACATTCGCATCTTTCTAAATATTTCACAACAAAACAAACAGATTAGCAAATAATTTGTTCCCAAGTATTAAATACAATGATTACTTTCATATTTAGAATATAAAAATTTTAGAATTTGAAAATTTCTTGTGTAAATTCAAAATAAATACATTTAATTATATTGGTAGCAAGTTATTTAATGTGTAGAATTCAAAAGTTCCTAACACATCTGTGTGTGTCCATAACAGTATCTGATGGTCCAGTAAAACTTTGAGGTTGATATATAATTATACTCACATTTAAGAATTGTTAACATAAAAAATACAATGTTGGTAAATTAGGGGAAAAGGCACAGTTGGAGCTTGAGGAAATTCCTGAACATTCTTCTGGACATATTTTAAAATAATTTTTCCATGTTTCTTTTAAAAATTGAGGGCATGGTCTTTGAAATATGTTGGGCAAAATGACTGCTTCAAGAGTCAATACTGAGCCCATCCCAGTGGCTCAACTGGCTAATATTCCCCTTCTAAGCATTGGGCTCCCATGTGGACACTGGTTTGTGTTCCAGCTGCTCCACTTCCCATCTAGCTCCCTGCTTGTGGCCTAAGAAAGCAGTAGAGCATGACCCAAATCCCTGGGACCCTGTACCGATTTGGGAGACCCAGAAGTTGTTCTGGCTCCTAGCTTCGGATCTGCTCATCTCTAGTCATTGTGGTCATTTAGCAAATGAGCCAGTGGTTGGAGGATTTTTGTCTTACTTTCTCTCTGTAAACCTGTCTTTCCAATAAAAATACATAAATCTTTTTTTTTTAATTTTTAAAAAAGGGTCAGTGCATACACGCACACACACATAACTACTTTTAGCATAATTAAGATGCCTATCAATGTAGTAAAACAGCTCAGTAAGCACAATATATGTCTGTTAAATATCTATTTATGGGGCCAGCACTGTGGCACAGCAGGTAAGCTGTTACCTGTAACATAAGCATTCAATATGGACACTGCTTCACTTCTGATTTGTTTGCTTGCTGATACTTCTGGGAAAGCAGTAGATGCCCCAAGTTCTGAAGTCCTGCACCCAACTGTGGACACACTGATGTCACCTGAGGACTGAACCTGTAGATCGAATCTCTTATGTTCCTCTTCTCTCTTTGTAACTACCCTTCAAATAATAAATAACTCACCTAAAATGTTTGTTTATAACAAAACTGAATTATATGGAGTGTAGTTTAGCATGCTTGCTGCATTTTCAGAGGTATGCATACTCTGGCAATTATTATGCCTTACGGATATGGAAATTATGATATTCTGCCCTACTCATGAAGAATTCATTTGGGAATTTTTTAAAAAAAAATTTAAATCTATTTTTTTTCAAACTACCTTGATTTAGCACATTGAATGGTACTGCCAGTATGGTAACAAAGGATCAAATTGTGGATTTGATTCCTAAAACAAAGCAGAAAAGCTGGGTTGGTATGGTGGCCCATCAGGCTAATCCTTTGTCCGGGGAACCGGCATCCATTATGGGCACTTGTTCATGTAACAGCTGCTTTTGATCCAGCTCTGTGTTTATGTCCTAGAAAAGCAGTAAAGCACAACCTAAGACATTAGACCCCAACACTCACATAGAAGATCTGGAATCATGAGGTTCCCATCTTCAGACTGACCCAGTAACGGCCATTGCAGCCATTTGGGGAGTGAACTTGGTGATGCAAGATCTCTCTGTCTTTTCCTCTCTTTCCTCTTTTTCTCTGTGCAACAGTGAACACATATTTTGTGTTCACAGGTTGACTCTTGAATCTTTCCTAATAGCTTGCAAATGGCGGCTAACTAATCACTGGCTAAAAAGTATTGAGTTAGCATAAGAAAAACCATGGACTGGCATTGTGGCATAGTTGGCTAAAACACTACCTGCCATGCTGCATCCATATGGTCACAGATTTGTGTACTCGCTGTGTCAGATTTGATCTGGCTACCTGCAAACGTGACTGGGAAATCAGCAGAGGATGCTCAAATGCTTTGGTCCATGCCACACATGTGGGAGACTGAAAGGACGCTTTTGACTCCTGACTCCTGCCTGGCCCATCTCTGACTCTTGTGGCTATTTGGAGATTAAACAAAAAGATGTAAGATCTTTCTCTCTCTCTTTCCTATTCTCCCCCTCTGTTTGTAACTCTGCCTTGCAAATTAATAAGTAAATCTTAAGGTAAAATAAGGAAAATCAAAGTAATATTTCTTACTTTCTCTAAACAATGTAAGTATATATTGTGAACTAGCATTTTATGATATGTTTAGGTAGACAGTTCTAAGGGCATTACACTTTAATTATTGGAACTATTAAATTCAAAGAATATAGTTGTATATTAGTTACAAATGGCATTCTTATTTTCCCATTAAGACCATAAGATTGTGATTTATTTGTTCTATTTGCATTTGAAATAAGAGAAATATTATATACCTCGCCTTTCTGAGAATCCAAAAAGGACTGTGAAGATCTGGGAAAAGTTTTTGTGGGTGATGGTTGAGCTGTCATGGTTGATTCTTGAGCTGATGTGTATATAGCTCCTAACAAAAGAAGAAGTCATTAATTATGAGAATATCATATTGCTTGATTAGGGATGATATTAATTAATAAATCCAATAGAACATTCCCTTTGTAAAGCTACCACAATTATTGAATTGCCACAATTGGAGTTTGAATTACAGAAGTATATCTATTAATAATGTAACTCCTTAGAAGTCTACTGCCTACAAATTTTCAGTGGTTCACCATTGCCTTCAAGGGTGAGTCCAAATTTCTTAGCTTCTCATTCTAATATATTTAATTCCTTATGCCAAGCTAAGCTGAAACGAACCATAGCCCACTGTCAGAATTAGCTGCTTGCATTTTATTCAGTATGCAATGAGACAACACCCACCTCTTGCATATGGACATAACACTGTATATCAGAAAGACTGATCTCACAGAAGAAAAATATATAGAGGTTTTTTTTTAAAAAAAAAAGGGGGGGGAAGAAGAAATTTAAAATTTAAAACAGTCAGAGGAATCTATCATTGAAAGAAAAATAGAAACAAGGAGCAGATATACAGGTTTGGATAAAAGATGAGGAGAAAGTGACAAGTTTTAGCCACAAAAATACCTGAAAAAGGAAGACTCAGACATAACTCAAGATTTGTGCCTGAGTTAAAATAAGAAGATGGTTTAGTTTTGTATTGAATGAGGGTATCGTTTGTCAATGGATGGAAATATCTCATTTTGTGTATACAGGAGTGCATGTGAGTGCTTTTAGTGCTGACATTAAATCTAACATCAAATCTAACAAAAATCTAAAGTAACACTCCCATTTCTTCTAAGGGGAAATGTAAACCCAGATGAACTGGTTGTGAGGAATTGACAGCAACTAAATATGAGAAAAATTCTGGGTCTAGTTTTCTGTATTTCAACCTCCTGAATCATAGCGTGTCAGTAGCTTACTCTAGCTATCAGTATGAACATTTACAGTAGGGACACTGATTTGGCAAATCTGAAATGAAATTTGCTATGAACAACCACCGAGATATATAATACTTTAATTGCTAAAATAGTAACACATTTTACATCATACTTTATATATGCTTTAATAAGCACATTTTAAAAAATTTATATGGTAAAAAATCTACTGAGGTATTTAATAACAAAATAGAAACAAATATTTTCCATTTTCTTACCTCTAACGTCAAAAACACTTGATTTTTTATTTAGCTAGATGGTACAACATTAAAGAGAAAAACACTTGTTAGTATTTGTGTTCCATACTACCAATAAATCAAATGAGTGCAGATGCCCCCTACTAAAGCACTGACAAAAGTTGTCTCAGGGAGCAATAAACACTGACAATTTAGGATACATTTCACAAAAAATCAAATGCACCAGGCTAAAACCAAGCTTCCAGAATTCCGTATCTTATATAAAAGCATTTTGACACACTCAAAGGCTAGTTCTAAAAAGCTTTGAGTCATTCATTTGAGAAATTCAGTCTAATACATTCATAGCCAATCTAATCCTACGGAATGAGTGCCAAAAATACTTCTTAGGATCAAAATAAAATTTATCATTTCAAATTCATCTTATTATAATAACATTTTTTTACATCTGCTGCCCCACAGGATAATTAATCTCTAAGCATATCAAATTATGCATAGATTTTTATCTTCAATCTGACCAATTTTCTTGTTGACTTACAACTTGAATCAACAGTATGTGGTCAATAAACAATAACTACTGCTATAATTATAATTGTTAAATATCTATTGGGTTGATTTCTGGCAAAGTGCCTCATTAGGCAGCTACATTCCAGTGAACGAGAGGGTATACGGAATCCAAAGTGAAATAGAGACAAAAAAAAAAAAAAAAAACTCTGTCAAAACTGTGAAATATGTTTTATACCTTTTTTTCTGTATCATCCTGTACATCTGGTGGAACAACAAGTGAAGCTGATTTTTTTAAGATATCCTTTGTATTACTTTGAGAATAAGCAGTATTTGATGCCTGCCCTAAAAGTAAATGGAAAATGTGACTTTCAGATTTATTTAAGTGTATTGAAATATAGTATCACCTGCTCACTTAGATTGATTATTTAATTAATTTTGAAATATATTTAAAACTAAAATCATCTCACCAATGAAGAATAAATATTCATTTTCCTCAAAGATTATTCCATGCAACTTTGTAATCCATTCAATTTTTTAAAAAGATTTATTTGATTTTTATTGGAAAGGCGGATATACAGAGAGGAGAGACAGAGAGGAAGATCTTCCGTCCAATCAGTCACTCCCCAGGTGGCCGCAACGGCTGGAGCTGAGCCAATCCGAAGCCAGGAGCCTCTTCTGGGTCTCCCACGCGAGTGCAGGGTCCCAAAGCTTTGGGCCATCCTCGACTGCTTTCCCAGGCCACAAGCAGGGAGCTGGAAGAGAAGCGGGGCTGCCGGAATTAGAACCTGCGCCCATATGGGATCCCGGGCATGCAAGTTGAGGACCTTTAACCACTGTGCCACCGCGCCGGGCCGTAATCCATTCATTTTTAAAATTCCCATTCTCCACAATATATTGATCTGTACCTTCCACTTGAAGTTCATTTGCATTTGATATAATTTTACTTAAATGGACTCAAGTACTACATCTTTACCCATTCTCAGTCAGCAGAATATTACTAAATGTTCAATAGAAAAACATGGGATGGAAAAAGGGTGTTTAATAACTATAGATTAATGGGCACTATCACTTTATAACACAAATCTAAATTTATAAGAATGGTTAAAAGAAATTATATCGATAAGAAAAAATAGGGGCAATGATGTACAGCAAATGGATCCCTCATGTGTTACTGATGGAAGTGCAAAATGTCACAGCCAATCTAGAAAATAGTTGGATAGTCCTTCATAAACTTAAGCATTCACTAATATAACAAATGGATTCCTAATTTACACAGAAAGCTGCATAGAAATGCTTCTGGTCATTCTATTGATAATCACCAAAACATGGGAAAAATCTAAATATCCATCAACTGCCAACGAGATAGACTCTAATGCATAATTTATCAGAATAGTGCTCAGAAACAAAAATAACCATCTATGGTAAGTGTGTAAACGTGGGTGAATTTAAAGGCATTGTGTATAACGGGGAATACTGTCACTTTAGAAATACATTAAGCACTTCATGGTTCCATTTAAATCACATCTCCCCAAACACAATGAACTGTATCTGAGAGTAGCTATGTGCAGAAAGACAGAATGTGTATCTGAAACGGATAGCAGGAAGGTAGTTTTTGGAATGTGAAAACTGTTCCACATGTGATTGTGCTAGTGATGTTAAAGTTAATGCAGTTGTAAAAACCAAATTATATACCTTTTTTTTTTCTGGTGGCGAGAGGACAGAATAATGCAGACTATATCAAAGAGAGGATGTGGGTATTTCTGGGCTCTGACTTTATCCTGGAAAGGTGCAGTTGTGGGGGATTTACAGTGGCTTTGGAGTTAATGGACTTAATTAACTCTTAATTCTCACCCATTTCAGCATTTTCTAAATTCATTTGAATCTTAGAAAGTTATTTTGTAATTTGTTAGGTATTATGTACTCTATTAATAAATAATAATAATGGGCCCAGTGCCCATTTATTAGCCTAGTGGCTTAAGTGCTTGCCTTGCACTTGCCGGGATCCCATGTAGGCACCGGTTCTAATCCCAGTGCCCTTGCTTTCTATGCAGCTTCCTGCTGGTGGCATGGGAAAGCAGTTGAGGACAGCCCAAAGCCTTGGGTTCCTGCACCCACATGGGAGACCCGGAAACTCCTAGATCCTGGCTTTGGATTGGCTCAGCTCCAGCTCTGGTGGAAGGAAGCTCTTCCTGTCTCTCTCTCCTCCTCTCTGTATAACTGACTGTCCAATAAAAATAAGTAAATCTTTAAAGAAAAAAAATAATAATAACTTCATTTTCTAAATTGACACTGGTGAAAAAACTTGAAAATAATAACTCGTTAATTAAAACCAAATGTAAAAGCAAAGGCTATATAATTTTGGTAAACACCACTAATGATGGTTATCTGGTGAGAGATGAGAACATTTATCTGCATTTTAGAAAAGGTCATCATCAAATTCAAGCTTTCTTGAAATTACTATTTACTATTTCTTTTCATAATATCCAATTACCTTGTGCTTCTTTATACATTTTCTGGTCATCAACAGGATACAGCAACTTTTTATCATCAGAACTTTTCTTTTTCTTCTTTGGAGATGCTTAAAGACATAGGACAATTATCTTAATCGTGGCAATAACAAAATTACCCGAAAATGACCTATTCTTCAATGTCCTAGAGAAAGTAAAGCTATATATTCATCTACCTATAGGAATCGGGGAAGAAATGAAACAAGATAGAGATGTGAAATAGAGGAAAAAGTGATTATTCCTGAAACATTATCTCTTAAGTCCAAACATAAACTGGACACAGAATTTTCTTCTGGCAGAAAAAAAACCTGCATCATGTTCAAATGGAACATGTCATTTCATTTCCTCTCTGAATGAGTGCATAATAGCACAGCTATTGAGCTGCAGATTCATTAGCCATTAGGCATTGTCCCAGCTCTTGGATGTGCCTCAGACTTCGGCATATCCTTTATGATAGAGTCAATTAGAGTGTGTGTTTCTAAATTCAGCTGGGCAAAAGGTCCTCAGTGTGTGTGGCTCACAGGGTGATCTTTAGAGTTATGAAATGGGGAAGTGCTGCCTCCCAATTCACAGATTGCTTCATTTGTTTCTTCTAATGTCTCTGCGTGTGTGTCTCTTTTTTGCTTTGCTGCTTACTCTTGCACTCTATTCCTCACGCCAAAACCCACAGGAGTCTTCCATTTAGTGGAATATGACAATCTTACCGAACAACTAATATATTTCATGGATTCACATAACAGTTTTATGGTTACTGAAAAACTAACAAAATTGATTATGGATATGTATTAGAAGAATTCTAGGAAAATGTCTTTTAATAGACTTAGTTAATATTAACTACTTAATATTAATTGATGACCATAAATTACTATCATGGATATCATTGCACTTATTTGACAATGGGTGCCCTAAAAGTACTTTGTATTTTTAAGGTTATAATTAAAAGTATGACAATGATATTTTGAAATTACTTATTTTAGAATTACACAGGGTTTTTTTTTATGAAGGAATAATGTTTTAGTTTTCCTGCATTTATTTAGGATTAAATGATAAATAAAAGGAATATACACTTGAGCTATACAACACATGTTTTGAAAAGCAAAATGTAGAATAATGTTTAAAGAGAGTCAAGAGAGCAAAAGAATGAGGATATGCTGGCCAAAGGGTACACATTTTCAATTATGGAGTGAGGAAGCTCTGGGAATCTAATGTATAGCATGGTAACTATAATTAACAACTTCTTGCACACTTGAAATTGCTAACAGATTAAATCTAAAGCTTTCTCATCACATACAAAGGCAACTAAAATAGAGAACATGCTAATTAGACTAAGTATGAAAATAATTTCACAATATTATTTTTAAAAATATATTGATTTTGTGTAGGAGAGAGAGAAAGGGAGCGGGTTCTAATTTCTTGATTCACTTTCCAAATAACAGCCCATGATCGAAGTGAGGAGCCAGGTCTCCCATGACGGTAGAAGGGTTTCAACTACCTGACCTATTGCCTGCTGCCTACTAGCAGTGAGTATTGACAAGATGCTGTACCAGGAATGGAGCCGGGTTTTGAGTTCAGGTACTCTGAAATGGCATTTGGGTGTTCCAACAAGTGAACTAACCTCTCCTTAACTGTCCATCTGCGATACTACCTTTTCTGACAGTTTCACACCATATGTAAAGCCTCAAGTTGGTATATAACAGCAAATTAATTATATGTACATATTTATGGTTTCACTATAAAACATACATTATTTTATGTATAGCAATTTTGACTAAAACTGCAAGGTAAGCAATCTTGTCTGTAACCTAATACGGTTATTTAATCCGTTATAATCTTTACATAAATATCTAATTTTGAACCTGGGATGCAATGCAGGAAAGGCTAGAAATAACATTTGCACACACTAGGTAGCCAGTTTAAGCACTCGCAATATTACAAAGAGAATTCTACATCAATAACAATTTCCTACTTAGCTACATTATCCTTCAGTACTCTTACATTCACCAAGTGGTCCATCTTGTCCTCTATAATCGTATACACCTTTTCCCACATCATCTTCTTTAAAACCAGTATCTTGCATTTTTTGTAAATGATAAGCCATTTTTCTCTCGAGAAGGGCTTGCTTCTAAATTATTAAAGGAGATACATTGGTTAACATCAGTGAGCTATTAATAAGTTAAAAAGACAAATATTCAAAGTATGATAGCATACCAGGAATGAACAATGATTTGTTGTGTGTGTGTCTGTATGACTTGTGAAGTTACAATGAATGCAAAGTTGCAATGGGATAAATGTCCTTTTGTTATAAACAATAAATAATACATTTAACAGTCAGATGTAAGTTATCTCATTTCATACTTTTAGGAATCTCGTTTCAGTTTCTGCGCATATAAGGTCTCTTTTTATACCCTATTTAGTTTAAGTAAGTTCTCAACAAACTTTAATTAGAAAGTTGCTGAGAACTTAATTAAAAAGGTCACTTCTGTCTACTATATTAGGCATAATAATAAATCTGAATCTCCTTGTGAATCTCTGAGTTGAAATGTGATATAGCAGAAAAGAGATAACTTTATAGAGGAGGAATTTCAGAGGTCCTTTGAAGCTTCTATAAAATATTTAACAAGAAGATAGATGAACACATACATGTAAGGAAAATGTCTAAGGCTATGGAAAGAACCTTTCGAGAGGATTAGAGAGAACAGTGCTTAGTACCTATCTAGAAATGGAAATCATGTCTATTCTCATCAACCACCTTGCAAAAACACAAGGAGTTGCAAAGCATTACAGTGCAAATACGAGTCTTAGCTCAGGGGTGGGAGTGACAGTGTCGTATAGAATAAGGCTTTGATTCTAACAAATATTAAAAGGGATCTGCATGATCAACCTGCTTCCAAATATATCACCAATATTCAAGAATAAAAGTAAAGAACATGTATAGAAGTTTAAAAATATCTAATACACAAAGCAAAATTCATAACATCTGGCATCCAATAAAATAACAACAGGCATGTAAACAAATAAGAAAATGTGATCCAAAATAAAAAAGAAGTAACTCAACTAACTTACAATCAACCTATGAATGACACAAATTAAGCACAAGGCATTATTGTCATTAACACAATTGCATTCTACATGTTTATAAAGTAAGCAAGCGACAGGGTGTATACAAAAATGATCAAATGTGATATTCCATTATCTGAAGAAAAATAATGAATAGATATACTAATAACAGTAGATACTGCAGAAATTTACTAAAATGAATTCAACAAAAGAAACAATCTAAAACTAAACACTGAAAGGAAAAAACACAAGAAGAATTTCAAGGACATCTATAGCAACCGTATATCTACAGAAATGAGAGACATAAAAGAAACACTTGATAATAACAATAATACTAAAATGCTCCATATTTCAAGTTAATCATAAACTCAAAGGTTAAGGAAGCTCAAAAGCACAATGAAGGGGATGGGAAAACAAAAAGAATTTCAGCAAGGCACATAGGATTGCAATTTCTCAAAAGTAATGATAAAAAATTATGCAAGCTTTTAGGAAGAAAAAGAAAATGTATCACAGAAAGCAAATGTTAAGTGGAGTAGTTTCTCTACCAAAAATAGATGAGACAGCAGAATAGCATTGTACCCATAAAAACTGTTCAGGGCTCCTTGAAGAGAAATTGATACCAGGCAAAAAACCAGGAGAAATCTAGCTACTATTAGAAAACCAAGATATTTTCAGAGTTTTCTGGGTGCATAAAAAGAGGCCAACTTGAAAACTATCATTAAAAAGCACTGAAAATTTAAATATTAGAAATTAATATTTACAATATGTTTGAAGGGCCTGACCTGCCACATGAACAGTGAATCTCACATAGTAATAAAAGGAACATGCAACCATATAACCATGAAATGAAAACTACACTGCATACTTCAATTTTCAATAATTTGAAAAAATGGCTGTATAATCATTTATATCAATATAAACCAACATACATAAATCTTAGACTTACACATCAGTTTGTAAATTTCCTAAAACTGAAATTTGGGAAATTTAGACTCAGATTTATGCACAAATATAATTGGTAATAGAATTTTATTAAATGAAGATGCAATGTACAAATCAACTTTTAGAGTACAATACCATGTCTTTATTTGCGTATCTGAAACAATAAATAATCATACAAAACATTCTGTACGTACCAAAACAAAGCTGTTTGTTTGAATACATATGCTTTCTTCTTTATTTATATCCTAAATCACCTATGATTACATGTATGCACATATATTTAAATATTTTATTTATTCATTTGAAAGGCAGAATTATATAGTAGGAGAAAGAGAAACTGCATATTGTTGGGAAAGGACAAATGCAATGCTCTGTGATTCACCTTAATTTCAGAGAACCTTAACTAGAGGAGAAACATACAAACTTCACTGAGTTTAAATCGAGACTAGAAAGTAGATTGCCTCTCCCCACCCACAAAGTCTCCGATATTATGGTACAGATTGTCTAGGCACTTAGCCCTGTGACTACCAAAACCCCCAGAGCTAGAGCCAAAATGCTACTCTTTCACCCTGTTTGTGCACATACTACTAGTACAAAATCCCCTTAACCTCCAATCCACCAGCTTTGGGACTGAGTAAGGATCACACTATATGCCAGTGTTGTAAGTCCCAGGGATAACTATACTCATCTATACTTGTATGACCCCTTTATATGTCTGATTCGTGTTTACATAGGCCAGTGCATAATCACCAGCATAACATGTGACCAACCTGTGGGACATAGGAAACATACCCTATGACTCCTGCCTGTGTCTCTGAGATGGGAATACTGGAGCTTTATTATTTACAGGATTATTTACAGCCTCCCTGATAAAACCTAGAGAAAGCACTACCTGCATCCCTGTGCTTCAGATCCATGCCTACCAGTAAAAAATGCTCAGCATCATCTCTGTGTGATCAGGGTAAGATCTCCACTGCATCATGTACCTCTGAAATTGTGACTTGACTTTCTAAGTTCCAGTAACACCCTGAGGTAGGTTCTATCCCCATTCTGTTTCACACCAATGAATACCAGTGCACAGTCTCCAAACATGACTGGGGCAAGGTATTCTTCAAAATCTTTCAATGCTTTGACTAGGGCTTTTGCTAGAAACAAACAAACAAACATACATACACTGCCATCATCAACAGCCACACAAAATTATCTGGGCATGATTCTAGCCATATTTCACAGTTCCACTCTCACAAGGGTTGCTACAAGTTACCATCATCAGGTTTGTTTGTGGGTCAAGGGGATAATCCTCTCTGTGTCCCATGGGCCATAGGATTTAGCTAATGCAAACACAAATTCTATTGCAGTTGAAACCCAATACTATAGGACCTGAAGACATATACCGTTTTTAAGTCCACACCCCCTTCAGAGTCACTATTTCCTACCATAACTGCTTCTGACTAGAGAATTGTGGCACTTAAAGATACAACTGACATCTATTACATTGGAAGAAACCACTTGGAAGTTACACTTCTGGAATCACTTACAACCAAAGCTAACACGCAAATGAAATCTCACATATCATATAAACAAAACTTTTTTTTTTCCAGCAAAGGCTGCTGCGTACAGATGAAACTTAAGTCAGATGTTCAGACATCAGTGTGGGGATGTACAAAAAAGGAAAAAGCCAGGAAGCATAGCACTGCCAAAAGGACATGACAGTTTTCCAAACATACATTGTGATTTAAAGACATTATAGGATGCCTAACACATAGCAAAATAATAGTCATCTTAAGGAATTTTAATCAGATGCAAGAGAATATAGATAGTTGAAAGAAATTAGGGAAATAAGAAATTAGGGAAATAATGCATGATATGAATGAGAATACAACAAACAGGTAGAGATTATTTTTAAAAGAATCAAGCACACATTTCAGAGCTGTAAACGTCAATCAATAAAACAAAAGGTAATAGTGAAAGCTCAAGCAACAGAATAAACCAAATAGAAGTTTCTGTTCTTAAGAAAACTTTCCAAATTACCCATCAGACAAAAATAAAGATGATATAATCAAAAATTATGAAGAAAGCATAAGAGATATACAGGATAATATAATGGAACATAGATTCATATTATAAGAATACTTAAAGGAGAGGAGAAAGAAAAAGCCATGCTGAACATGTGAATATACGATATTAATGTATTTATCAAAATAAAGCTACAAACTTTGCAAGTCTTGAAAGAGAAATTGGCATCCATAGATAGGAAACTTAAAGAATTTCAACTAGAGCCAATCAAATAAGACTTTCTCCAGGGCAAATTATAATTAAATTGTCAGAAGTCCATGACAAGAAAGAATCTTTAGTGAAAAAGATCATATTTTATATAAAGGAAAACCAATTAGATTATCAACACAATTTTCAACAAAACCGTTCATGGCTAAAAGATGACACAATATATTCAAGATCCACAAAACTAGAACCTTCCAACAGAAGCACTATACCCTACACAGTATTTCTCGGACAAACAAAAACTGAGGAAATTGATCATTTGCCATACCAACCCCACAAGAAATCCTAAAGAGAGTTCTGCATTAGAACAAGACATAAAAGTTCAAAAATACATAGCAGAACAAAACCAACAGAGAAAAATCCTGAAAGGGAGAGTCTACTTGTTTTATCATGAGAAATAATTTTGAAAACGAAAATAGAACAGGGAGTGATGGCTCAAATGACTAATTCTCCACCTTGCTCTACCCCAAGATCCTATAAGGGCACAGTTTGTATCCTGGCTGCTCTATTTTCCATCTGGCTCCCTGCTTATGGCCTGGGAAAAGTACTGGAGGATGGCCCAAAGCCTTGGAACTCTGCACCCATATGGGAAGTTCCTGGCTTCTGGCTTCAGATCAGCTCAGCTCCAAATGTTGCAGCCATTTGAAGAGCGAACCAGTGACAGAAGATCTTCCTATCTCTCCATCTCTCTGTAAATCTACATTTCCAATAATATAATCAGATATTTTTAAAAGACCATAAAAATAAATATTAATAGAAGCAGAAATGAACAGCAAACAATTAAGACAATCAGTAAGCAAGCAGCAAGTAGACAGGAGTTAGGTATTATCTATCAAAAGAATAACAAGGGACTACTATGAACAAATAGATATTTACTAAGTTGGAAAACTCTGAAATAATAGATTATTGGATGTGTGTGTGTGTGTGAAGAGAAAAAGAAGAAATGAAGAAATGAAGTGAGAGAGCCTAGTTAAGGTCAAATCAACGAACCCCCAAACAAATAGCCAGTCTGAAGCAATAATTAAAAGTCTCCTGTCAAAGGAAAGTACAGGACCTAACAACACTCTACTAAATATATAAGAGGAAAATAATTCCCTCAAACTATTAAGAAGTGTGGAATTCTGCTGAACTCGAAAAAGCACTTAAATTGATGATTTGATTTTTAAAGGAATTGCAGCATATGATGTGATGATAAATCCCAAAGTAGTTATATGAAACAACACTACAGTTATTAATTACTGTGTCATGGAAAAATGCAGTTAGTGTGTTCAGAATTTCAGGTTTTTTAAATGAATATATCATTTGGAATAGATGCTACACAGTCACCTCAGGAGTGGTTTTTTTACTTTGAAAAAGCAACCTCGGCAAAACTTCTCTTCAAACTTCCCAGAGTTACGGGACAAAGTTCACTCTACCTTTCTGTCACTCTCTTCTCTGTTTTTTCGTCGTTGTTCTTCTATTCTCTGTTCCCTTTTAACATCTTCTTCAATTCGTGTCAGAAGCAGCATCTCCTTTGTCTTCCATTCCTAAACAGCACAATGTTACTGTAATTATTATTCCTTTCATTATATTTTAGTATTTTGTGAGTGTAGCAGACACATTAGACAAGAGTATGACAGAAATGAGATCAACACAATGAAAGCCATATAGTGGCTTAACAAAAATTTTTTTAAAAAATCAAATAGATGATCTTTTGTTATTGAACTCCTGTTAGGAATAGGAATACAGTATGATTACTTTTTACTGGGGCCAAATAAAACTTTCTTTTCTACACTGAAGTTTATAATTGAGTTAGTGTTTTGTAACTTTCTCAAACACATACATTGGATTATACATATCACAGGTGGTATCTGTAATTATACGTATCATATGTACACCTTGGATTATACATATCCTATGTGGTATCTGCATAATTAGTATGCAGCATCTGCCTCCTTAGTTTATGTAACAATCTGAAAAAGCAAATTACATGTTACTCATGTGATCATGTTTATTGGAAAACTATTTACAGCCACAATGACTTCAAACAGCATAATGTACAGTTATTTATTTCTCTATTTCACATTTAATTTTCTCACACCTCTTCAATTTTTCTGCGGAGGTTAAGCTTCCTTCTGGCATGTTCCCGCTGTTGTCTTTCTTCTCTATCCATGCGGAGTAGGCGCTGTTCTTCTGCTGTGCGTTCACGTTGTTCTAATTCCCTACTTATCATGTCCAGGTATCTAAGCAAAAGTGCAAATGTTACTGAAAATGAACTGGCCGTTTCCTTTATTACGGCGTCAACTGCTGTGATAATCTCAAACTATTGTCTTGCTTACAGTTTCTCTTCTCAATTAAGAGAAATACTACAGTTTTTCTCAGAAAATTTTCTACAGAAATTTGTGCAATGATGCTCATGGATTTGAATCAATTGGATTCATAACTATTTACTCATTTTAAAGTATTTCACTGTCTGAATATCAGCACATGTACACAATGGCAAAACAAGGAAAATACTGATTGAAATAATTTTGAATACTATTAATAATTTTGTATGAATTTAAAGAGAAGGCTAAAATAACCAAAGCAGTGGTTTCAAAAAATGACAAAAATAACCTGTACATTTGGATTTTTCTAGGAAAAAAGAAGTACCGAGCCTCTTATAAATTCTACTTTTAAAAAAATATTTCTGCTTTAGTTCTGCTTCTTTATTTTCCAAATTTGTTTTATTGGAAACTCAAATATACAGAGAGGAGGAGAGACAGAGAGGAAGATCTTGCATCCACTAATTCACTCCCCAAGTGGCCGCAACAGCCAGAGATGCTGCACCAATCCGAAGCCAGGAGCCAGGAGCTTCCTCAGGGTTCCCCATGCAGGCACAAGGACCCACGGCTTTGGGCCATCCTCAACTGCCTTCCCAAGCCACAAATCAGGGAGCTGAACAAGAAGCGAGACTGTCACATTATGACCGGCATCCACATGGGATCTCAAGTGTACAAAGCGAGGAGTTTAGCTGCTAGGCTACCATGCCGGATCCATAAATTTCATATTTATTTGTATTATGATACAGTTCCACAGGCTCAGGGATTTCCCTTCCCACCCTCCCCAGTTCTCCTCCCCCCACCAATTTCCTCTTTATTATTAAAACATTCTCCTATCTATTGTCTTGCTTTCTGGTGTATCACTACCTTAAGGCAGTACTGTGAAATAAAACCATGGAGTGTGAAAGTTATACAGTGGAGTACAACCTTTTACAAGTAGAGAAGGAAACAAATGCAATATGCCATCACTATCTAAAAAGTGGACTTGGCAATGGAATGACAAACGTTTGGTAATGTCTAAATGAGCTCACAATTTTTAGAGACAATGTATACTTACAGTGGCATGAAATAAAGACATTAAATTTTCTTAATTTTTAAAATTTTAATGACTTTTTTTAATGTTTTCAATCTTTAAAATTGTTGATACTGATTATTCATGTACTAGAAATACTCTCCCTCCCCTAACAAAGATTTCAGGATCCAGAATTGTGCCTTATTGGGTTATACTGCCTGCAATGCTAGTATCACATATATGTCCCAGTCTGATTCCCAGATGCTCCACTTCTGACCCATGTCCCTGATAATGCATGTGGGAAAACAGCCAAAGTCAGCCCAAGTCCTTGGGCTGCTGCACCCATAGCGGAAAACCTGGAAGATGTTTCTGGCTCTAGGCTCTGCCTTGGCCCTAATATGGGGTAAGGCAGGTAAGCAAAAGTCAACCATCACCTTACGTAATTCTTTTTGTCCACCTGTTTGTCAAGTGATCCCTTCCCCAAAAGATACCTTCACTCTCCTTGGTTCTGGAGATGGTACAATGTAGCCAGTCTCTTTTACAAGCTCATTAGAAGACCAGCACCAGGGAGGAATGCCAGGGCATTGGTGTGAAAAGTGTGACTCTCTGTGGTCCATCTCCAATAACAAAAAGCAGACATCAAAGAGGAGGAAAGAACTTTCACTTGGCTCGTGATCTTGCTAAAAACCCATGACGTTTACGGATTCAAAAGGCTTCCAAGTCCTAGACCTCTTGATATCAAGAGCCTATGGTGATCACTGATGTCATATACAAGAGTCCTACTTTGTTAAATTAACAACAGGAGTCACTGTGCACTAACACCCCATGCAGGACCTATGTTCTCACAGCATTAGAATGAATGGTAAATCTTGCTCTCACAGGTTTACTTTGTTTTATGGTTAAGTAGAGGATATTGTTATCTTTCATTAGTCAGTTATGTCTGAACATCTAACTCTCTGTTACTTGGAAGACATTTATTATCAATCTAAAGTGCTTTCTTAAAGTTTATTTTTTCTAAATGTAAGTTATTTGTTATGATGTTAGTAAGTACTAAGACTGACACAAGTTTAGACAATGTTCCTACTGAAATAAAAGATAGATACACAAATTTGGGATCAGGTAATATTTGGATAGTTTACATCTACTTAATAAGACTGAATTTCTGCATCGACATCAATATCCAGTAGAACCAGAAGCCAGATAGGGACTTCGACCCTAGACGAAGTCTAGGTTTCTCAGACATGGACCGTGATTCCTTGTCAGTTTCACAATAATACTCCAATCATGCTCGTGTTGGAACCAAATGGAGAATACAGGATGGTTCAGAATTTCAAAGTACTAATGAGGCAGTTATTGCAATCCATCCTTTTATACTAAACCCTTACCTAAAGGATGGGCTCTACATCACCTTAAACCAGAATCTAAGAAAGGAGGATGCAGAATTCCCCAACAAAAGCTCCAACTTTTAAACAAGAGGTAAATTATCTAAGTTTTATTCTGACTCAGAGTGCAGTCTTTCACTCAAGACAGAGGAAGCTACAATATATATATAGGGTCAACACAGATGAAAAAGACTCTTAAGAACATTTCTGGGAATGGCAGGATTTTTTAGAATATTGATTCCAGGATTTGCATACATATCCAAACCTTTCTATGAGTCTTCAAAGACTTCTGAAAGACTTACTTTACAAACATCTTTTCCAAAAGACTGAAGTGCTATTAACAGAAGCTATGGTCATAGGGATCTATAACCTGAAAAACTCATTCACTTTGTTATAACAGAGCAACAAGAGGATGTACTGACTCAAAAATATACTTCCATGACCAGTGGCTATTTTTCTAAACAGCCTAATGCATAGGGTGCAGGGTGGCCCACGTGCTTAAGAGCTATTGCTGTTGCAGCACTCTTGGTGCAGAAGGAAGTCACCAAGATGACTTCAGGTCAACTACTTGAAGTTCAAACTCCAGACCAGGTATACAAGGAGTTTTAGAAATTAAAGGACATCAATGATTAACAGGAAGGCATCTCACTAAATATCAGACCTGACTATTAGATTCACCAAAAACAACTCTAAAGTCCTCAACACAGTGACTCTGTTACACCTACGCATATTAGATAGTTAATTCACGTTTGGGTAGAAATGTTGAGTGGTTTACCTCACCTTTTCTATAAACTTCATCACTTTGTAATATTTGTGTCTGTACTTAGAATACTTTCCCATTTAACAGGCAAGAGCCTGAAATAGGGATCTTTAAGCCCTAGTTAGCCACAAAATCACAGTCCAGCCATTTAAGGAGTGAACCAGAAGATGGATGATCTCTCTCAATCTGTCCTTTCTCTCTCTCTCGCTCCTCTCTCTTACTGATTTATTTTCTTTTTTACATAAACAAACCAACAAATAAATGTGTTCAAAATGTTTTGCTTACCTCTCAACAATACTGACATCTCAGGAGAAATTCCCCCTCACAAACCTGGCACCAAGATTCCCATTTCCTGTACTTCTTTTCCCTTCAAACTGAGGGATACTTCCCACTACTTTAAAAAGTGTCTTGCATTCAATTTTCTCCAAGATTCTTACAGTCCACAACAGATATATAAAATATGCAATAATGTAAATTTTACCTGTGCCTTATTAAACGCTCCCGGTCCTTAACAGATTGGGTGCCTCCTTGTAAGAACCAATTTTGGAAGTGTGTAACACCAGAACACCCAGGGATTGGAGTTTCCTGTAGTCTGTGTAGCTGCTTTGCAAGCATTTTCTGTTTTAAAAAGTATGAATTATAAATATATGTGTGTATATTTTACATTTCCTAGAAATAAATACCACTAGAATTACCATATTTTACATTGATTCTGTTGTACTGCATTTAAGTTTGTTTTGTATTCACTAAAGACCTGGGGAGCTAATTTTAAAAAGATATTTATCATTTTTTAGATAAGAGGTATTTAATTTTAATTGTATATCCATTCTTTAAAAAATGAAAATCTGGAGGAAGTACAGAAATAGGCACAGAGAAGATATGTGGCAAAAAACCCCTCAATTATTAAAAATAAAGTGCATATGCAAGCACGCACACACACACTCCTTTTTAAACTTTGGCTCACTATTCTACTCTAAAACAAATATTCAGGACCAGTGTAGTAGCACAGCTAGTTAAGTCCCCCTTAAATTCTAGTATTCTATGTCACAGTGCATGTCCAATTGACTTTTCTGCTAGGTGACTGTGAAAGCAAGAAAAGATGGCCCAACTACTTGAGCTCTTGCTACCTTTATGGATAATTACAGTGGTGTTTCTAGCTACTGGCTTCATCCTGGCCCACACCTGGCTGTTGTGGTCAATTGAGAATTAAACCATGACAGAAGATAGCTCTTTGGCTATGTCTTTCTCCCTCTCTCTGTTGGCTCTTCCATTCAAATAAAAATTAAAACAAAATATTCTTTAAATAAATTTGCTCACATACATATACACTACAAAGTTGAGTTCAAAACTGAAAGAAAGTCACTGCCTATAACCATTCTCTTCAGTCAGTCATTCCAATTCAACGCTAACATTTTTTTTCTACATGAATATAAATGCATGTATGTGAGTACAAGCACAGCATGTTCCTGATTGTTGAATCACTTCTAGGGCACAACAAATATTCATAGTGTTCAAACTGTTCTGGTGCCTGTTTAAGAATATTGTTGTCACTTTAGAAACTTCTTATTCCAAACTATATGTAAAGAAAAAATTAAACATTTAACTTACTTGTTCTCTAATGTAGTTTCTTTCAAAGTCTAATTTTAAACTGGTAAGATATTGTCTGTACTTATTCAATTCCCTCAGTGTACACACAATCTAAAATCAAAAGCATAAATATTTAAAAATTATAGCAACTACTTTATAGAGGAGAAGCAGTAAATAAATGCCATTTGATACAATTTTGGAGTAAAGAATAATATATTGCGAACAACTTTGTAACATACATCTCTATTTGTTAATAAATTTTTTTTTCTGCTCAAAAACATTACTTAATATTACATAGCATTGTTCTGTAATGTGTAAACAAAATTACGTATAAACATATGGAGTTATTCATGCACTAATTCATATTCTAATTGTGATTGTAAATTTGATAACATTCTACCTTAGAATTTTCTACTGAATTCTAACAGACTAAAATTTTCCTGGGTTTCTATCTGATCTCAAGCTTTTAAGAAAAGTGGATGGAAAATACTCATTGACAAGTATACAGTAACATTAAAGATAGGCAAAGAAGACCATGAAACAATAGAAAATTAATATAACTTTACCTGTTCAAATTACTTTTCAATAACCTTCAAGTATTAAAGAGAAGGAGAATGCAGTAATTTCATTTAGAAATGACTGTTTTCTGATTTCTTCTTACTAAAATACTGAGAAATTTATGGAAGTGATCATTGTTAGTCATTTCCTTTAAGTAATTTCTCACAAGCAAGTTAAAGATGAGGCAGACCCACAAGTGATGTATAGAAGTAAATCTATATACACAGTTTTGAAGATTTCTGTTGCTCTAAAACAATAACTCACTTTATTATTGCTGGTGATGTAGCCACCTTTCTTTAATCTCCTTAAGATATCTTTGCGTTTGTAGTATGCTCTTAAATGTGGATCATGGAGACTTTTATATTGGTTTTCCAATAATCGGCAATAAGGATCACTCAGGTTAAAACCATAAGAAGGTCGAAAAAGCTGCAAACAGATTCACAAACATTATAAATGTAAAATAAGTATACTTCTTTTAAAATCTACTGAAATGACTAAAATGCTTATCAAAAATAAAACATAAGAAAGGAATGTGTGAAAAAAATCCACAGATTTAAGTTGAGCAAGTTTAATTACATTTCCCTTCCACTTATTCCTCCATCTACAGTAATTATTCTGAAGAGCTAAACTCACTTAATTGGTTCCTCTTCTTATCCCAATCAGTCCCTGACTCAAAAACAGACAACATAGCAAACAAAGAATAACAGGGAATAGAATATAATTTGGATTAAGATATAATCCAAATATAATCCTGAAGTTAGGATTCTCTTCTTCCCTTCCCCCTCTCTCAGCTCAATGCATCACAGTGAAAAGATGAAAGGATATTATTTTATTTCAATTGTGTGAAATTGAAGGAAATAAAATCTAGCACTACAGTTTGTGAAAACAACAAAAACAAATCTTGGATGTTAAAGATTTTGAGTTAAAACCATTTTTCTTGGAATAATTATGCTAGGTATATGCTTGCAATGAAAGAATCTCAACTGAACTTGAACTGTGGTTATGCAGCAAGGTGGAGGAATCCACTATGGGGGGAGGGGTATGGGAGGGGTGAGGGGAATCCCCAGTGCCTATAAAACTGTATCACATAATACAATGTTAATAACAATAAAAAAAAGAAAATGCTAAAAAAAAAAAAGAAAATCCAAATTTTAATATTATACAGTTCAACACATTAAGGCAACAACTTTAAAGAATGTAGGTTCTTTATAGAATATAAATATATTATACATACAGACATATGTATAGATAAAAGATCTCCTGGAATCTTATGTAATAGTCTTTAACATTAAAAGAAGAAAAATTAAAATAGTCATGTTTTTACAAGCCTTAAAAAAATAGCTGAGTTATCAGTGAAATGAGCCAATCCTAAAGGACAAATATCACGTTTGCTCTGATATAAGATAACTTCCAATGAAAATGCAAAGCAAAAATTAAGGTAAACAAGCATTCCCTTGTAAGCTCAGAGACTGCAATGGGGACCATAGTACCAGGGACTAAAGAAATTCAACAGAATGCATCTCTACAACTGAATAAAAGTAGACCCTTCCATGAAATTCTAAATATACCTAGGCAGCAGAATTTTAAATTTTATACCATTGTCTATGCCAACAGTATCATGACCCACATAAAGAGCAGAAAATTGCAATCAAGATTACACCTGACAAATCATTTCACTCCAAAACCTGAGGTGCAATGGATGGGAGATATAATTATAAATGATCCTTTGAGTACTGTTTTTGCTACATCTCATGGGTTCTAATATTTTTGGTTTTATTTTCATTTCTTCAAAGAAGTTTTTTTGTGTTAATTTCATTAGTGACACATACAGGGCATACAGTGGCAATGCTTTCTTCAAGAGGGTTTTTATTTTCTTTTTTATTTTTTTCAGCGATATATTGGTGATTCAGTAGCATGTCATTTAACTGCATGTTGTGGATTTCCTATTTTCCTTCCTGCAGTTGATTCTGTTTTGTGGCTTTTCATTTATGGGGATGTATGGTAACTGTGTAATAGAAACTATCATAACCAGAGGTGAGAATGCAATGAAGTGTGCATCTCTACTTCCAAATCAATGAAACTGATAAATGCACCTTGACAATAGGCTGCTGGACTCTGACATTGTCCATACCTATGATGTTAGGATACACTTAAATAGTAGAATGTCAGATTTATGAGTGTTTATGAAGGATTATACTATTGTAATAATATGTGGGGGGAATAAGTGGGAGGGAGGGGATTTGAGGTAGAAGGAAGGAAAGTTCCAGAGCCTATAGAATTGTATTATAAAATAATTTTTTAAAAAAGAGCTGAGTTATTCAATCTCCTTTATTAATTAAAACATGACCAAAGACATTTTTTGCTATGAGTTTATAGTGGCTAGAGCTGAGCCAATCCAAAGCCAGGAGCCCAGAGCCTCTTAAGGGTCTGCCACACAGGGGCAGAGTCCCAAGGCTTTGGCCCATTCTAGACTGCCCCTCCTTTACCAGACCACAAGCAGAGAGCTGGATGGGAAGTCGGTGTGCTGGGATTAGAGCTGGTGCCTATATGGGATCCTGGTGCCTGCAAGGTGAGGACTTTAAACGCTAGGCTACCACACAGGGCCCATTACATAGTTTTAATAGATTTTAAAACATGTACATATTTATGAGGTACCATATGAAGTCTCAATACATGTATGCTTTGGATAATGTTCAAATCAGAGTGAACACATTTACCTCTCCAAACGTTTATCATTAAGAAACAATAGTCAGGGTCCAGCGCGACAGCGTAATGGCTAAAGTCCTCGCCTTGCACGCCCGGTCACTTGGGGAGTGAATCATCGGACGGAAGATCTTCCTCTCTGTCTCTCCTCCTCTCTGTATATCTGACTTGCTAATAAAAATGAGTAAATCTTTTTTAAAAAATAAGAAAAAGAAACAATAGTCATTAAAGAAAATCATAATATATATTTGAAGAAGAGACAAAAAACAGAGAAAAGTATACCCTAAGAATGAATTATATCACTAGCAATATAATAAATTTCAAACACATATTGGCAAAGCAAGTTTGTGAAATGTGGCTCAAATTTCATGAAGTTGACATGTTTTTAGTGAGCTTATTCTATACAGTAGATTGGTTTTCAAATATGTGTATTTCAAATATATCTAGTTTCGAAAAAAACGTTAAGAAACCATGTTTACTAGTTCTAGAGTGACTGAATCTCATCAAAGTTTTAATGTCTCTGTTGTGTCCTCTTAGGTGACTGCATTAGCAGGTAGGGCCTTCAGAGACATCGTGGGAGTAGACCCTAACGAATGGCACTAACGCTCTTGAAGAGGCCTCAGAACTCTCTCGTGCCTTTTCCTTTGTGAGAAGTCACAATGAGAAGCCAGCAGAAGGCCCTCGCTAAAATTCGGTCATGTTGGGACCTGTATCTCATACTTCAAGCCTTCAGACTAAATGTAAACCAGATTTTGTCATTTTAAAGCCACTCATTCAATGGTGCTTTGTTATAACATTGTGAATTCACTGAAACATGAGGCCAGTATCAAACTTGGTCTTCTTATCCCTGATGACATCATAAACAGAATTTCTTAACTTTTTAAAATATTGATCAAAGTATCCATTGAACAAATTATACTACGCATGCTTCAGCATTCCCTAGCTTAGACAAGGTCTTGGAATAGGTATCGTTAAATGTGAAAAACATTATAAGTTTGTGGAAAATTAAATTCCAAACAGTTGTGACCAAGTGTTAAGTAAGACCACACAAATCAGAGACTATGTGAATTTTAAATAAAGATTAGCTCAGATTCATAGATTAGGGAGAAGAAAGAGTGTGCCAGGACTTGGGGAAAGATGGACACAGGTGCCTGGGGCATGGCAATGCATAGAGGAGTCAAAAAGGCATCGACCTGGGGCCTGAGGCTGGCTTTGAAGAAAAGTCTTCCAAGAAAGGTTAAATCCTTACACATGTGAAACCTCCTTCATTTTAGGTGAAATTAAAGTACTCACCATATAAACCCTTATAAAATTAAATAGAAGTTTTTCAAAACAAAATAATAAAAAGTATTTTGCCAACTGAGTTTAGTCCCAGTTACTAATGGTTAAAATTAAGGCAAAAGTAAATTACCATTCAACAATGACAGCAGTTCACCTCTCAAAAATATTTGTTAAGTAAATCAAAAGTCATTAAATAGGCATATACGGTTTATGATTCAAAAATGTTGATATGCTTCAACAGGTGCTAAACTGAGACCAAGAATCTGGACTTTGGTCTATGGTTCTGCTCACACTCACATCACATCAGAGGTAATTTCTTTTTACACATCCTTCCCAATGGGTTTGGTTATTTTTTTTCCCCCTGCCAAAAATAACGCAAATTCACTTATAACACATTATGCCATAGCCTCTGGATTTCAGAGCAAGTAAAAAAAAAAAAGAAAGAAAGAAAGAAAGAAACCTAATGTAAGGAAATTAGAACTTGGTTTACCTTCTCACTTATATTGGTAGTAAAGAACACAGTGTCACTTCCAGGGATCATAGGCAGCTTGACCCCAAGAGGCAGATCCAGCAGCTGCGCCGCTCCCACTCCGGGAAAGTGGGTTTTGTGTGTACCCTGTGGGATGCAACAGGACAGTTGTGTCATCTTTTGTTCCCACGCCAAAGCAAGTAACCGACTAAACAACCATACAAGCAAGGTAGAAGCGGCTCGCCCCGTCGGACACCCTGTAGGACTCCAACTCCCAGGTCACCGGCTCTCCACGGGCGCTGCCTCAGCCAGTGGCGGCCAAGCACGGCCGGAGCCAGCACCGCAGGCGCGAGCCTAGAGGGCGCCCCAAGCTGGACGGTTGGCGGGCAGCTCCGGCGTCTGGGGTGGGCCCTGCCTCCGCCCCTGCAGGCCCTGGGCCCCCCAGCACAGGACGAGGACGCCTCCAGCCCAGCGGACACTCACATCTCCACACTGCTGGCTGTCTGCGGCCAGGCTGCTGGCGGCTGTCTTGGCGGCGGCGACGTTGGCGGCCTTGGAGCAGGCGCTGAGGTACAGCTCCATGGCTGGTCCCGGCCTCAGCCTCCAGGTCTCTCCCCCACCCCGCCTCTCGCCGTCCCTCACACCCCTCCCCGGTCCTCCGACCGTCCCGACCGGACCGGGAATGACCAGTGCCGGGTGTCCGCCAGGCCCCACCCCCGCCGCGTTCTAGGCTTCGAACGGCCGCGGCCTGCAGGGCCTCACGGCCTCGAGGGCTGCTCGCTCGCTGCTCGCTCGCTGGCGGGCAGGCCGTTGGCTGCAGGCGCCTCCGAAGCCCGTGGTCCTGGAAAAGGGAGCCCCGTGGCCCGGTCTAAGAGGACCACAGAAAGTACATTCTCTGCAGAACCAAACCCGTCAGGCCACCTTGATGGGCTGCTGGCAGATTTCCCCTGGTCACCAGGCAACTGTGTTTGTGTTTAACAGATGTCCGCTAGGGGTTACAAGGCCTGGCTTTCCCATACATTCCGTCTTACAGATCTGATGATAAAATTAAGGCCCCCACAACTTCTTACAACAGGGTGCCCACGGCGTACATTGGCTTCCTTAAGGGTTTCTTGCTTTCCTACCTCCTTCCTCTCCTGGTCTTCCTCATTTCTTCCTAATTCTCTTCTCTCTCTCTCTAGCTCTCGCTCTCTCGCTTTCTCCTGCCTTCAACTTTATCCTGTTTCACTCTTCTATTGTATTATTCAATCTTTATGAAGTGACTCCTCTGGGTTGGGTGTGAACTAAGCGCTAAGATGGGGCAGTGGTTAAGTGAGGCCTCTGCTTTTACAAAGCTGTTGCGACCATGACTTCTTGGGCAGCAGAGACAGTCAGGAATTTGGAGTTTATCGATTCTTTGGTTCATTGCTGCCTGATGTCGTTTCTGCTTTTATTAATGCCCTCTTAATAATTTACTATCTTCAGATACCATATTACATATTCTTTAAAACCCTTAGTCCTTCTAACAGACTTGTTAATAATTTTTATTAATAATTTTCCCTCTGATTTTTAGCCTTAAGGTTTATTTTTAACTAATAGCTATACATATTTTTGAGGTAGAGTGTGAAATTTCAATATAAATCTAGATAATTAGTATTTGTATCTCCTTTTCATTTCTTACTGTTTATCAGTTACTATTGTTTGGAGCATTGCAACCCCTATCTTTCAGTTCTTCCTAAAATAATTGCAGATATTGTGAAACGTCCATGCAAGTAGAGTTAAAAGATAACTTACATGATGAAAATACTTGAAATCTGTTCACCTTTTCTCATAAAATGCATTTTTTCACAAACTTTGGAAGATATAATCATGGATTTTGAATGTTTTTGCACCAAAGCAAAATTTTCTATTTTCCGTGAAGATGTTGAAGGGTCCTCGTAGTCTATTTTGTTGTGAAGCATATTTCTCCCTGCCATGGAGCTCTAGGACTCATTCTTACCAAAACCTTCACATTTTAAAGCCACAGTTTGCAACCAATATGGAGGCTGGATTTATAGGGATGAGACTGAAGGCCTGGGAGACTTCATGAGTTTTGTCAAATAGAGAATGGATTTGGGTGATACCAAATAGGCAGAATTGTCCAAACTTTGGGCTCTTTATCTCATATACTTTAAAAAGAAAGGAGTTGGAGATCATAGCTACCATGGGAAGGGAAGCAGAGTTCACGAAAAGCCTAGATTTTGGAGGTGCAAGCAAGTGAGAAAAAGTGCATGAATTTCTCTCTCCTTTAAAAATATCTGACCTAGACAGGTGAGCTCTCTATATAAGGAAAGCAATTAGAAATGAAAAGATTGGGAAGAATGGGATTTATTATACTTATATATAAAGGATTTTGTTGCATAGCTTATGGGAAATTGTATGTCTGAGGTTTTATTAATTTCTGGATCTTTCAAAGACTGCGATATTCACCTTTGGTACTAACAAAACATACTCAGATGTTAATTACTTTAAATTACGATTTGGTCTCACAATTCTCTTTATAGGCAGATGGTAGTTTTGGTTGGGGTGGCCATATTTAAGGTTGGGCCATCAGTGATGGTTTCACCCACAAGCCTGGGGTCTAAGCCAAGAAGACTGGAGTGACTGGGGTGGTTCAGCTTGTTTGCACACAGTCCGTTATTCTCTGGGACATTAGACTATACTTTTTCATACAGTTGTCTCAGGGTTTTCAGCCCCTAGAGAGAGTAAGCAATTTGCATAGATAATCTAAGATTCAGCATGGAAGGAACTACTAAAGATAATGGCTGTCGTAAGGTTTCTATCATTAGGGAATCTTACTGCAAAAATCTGTCAAAGATAATTTTTGGGCCCTGTGATTCATGTTTTTCCTACCCTCTCTCCCTCTTTAAAAGAATCTTTTTTTTTTTTTTTTTTATCTGAATTACAGAGGGAAGGAAAGGCAGAGAGAGACGTATTCTTATCCATTGATTCACTCCCTAGTTGCAGGGCCAAAGCTGGGCTGGTCCGAAGCCTAGAACCTGGAGCTTGCTATGGATCCTTCACACGGATCCAAGTGCCCAAGGAGTCTCCATTGCCTTCTCTTGCTATCAGCAGTGAGCCAGATTGGAAGTGGAGCAGGCAGAGTTCAAACCAGCACACAAATTGAATGCTGACTTCACCGGCACAGATTAACCTGCTACATCACTGCGTTGGTCCCTCTCAGATTATTAGGATATACTTACTTATGTAAGACTACAAAAAAAAAATGCTATTCAATGATGGAATCAGGCTTAATTTTTTTAAAGATTTATTTATTTTTATTAGAAAGTCAGCTATACAGAGAGGAAGAGACAGACAGTAAGCTCTTCCATTCACTGATTCACTCACTCCCCAAGTGGCCACAACAGCCGGAGCTGCTGCACTGATCCGAAGCCAGGAGCCAGGAGCCTCCTCCAGGTCCCCACGTGGATGCAGGGTCCCAAGGCTTTGAGCTGTCCTTGACTGTTTTCCCAGGCCACATTCAGGGAGCTAGACAGGAAGCAGGGCTGCTGGGCCAGAACCAGTGCCCATATGGGATCCTGGCATGTGCAAAGTAAGGATTTTAGCCACTTGGCTATCGAGCCAGCCCTCAAGCTTGAAATTTAACATTTCATTCATATAGGTGAGAGAAAACAACCATGGTCAAGTTAAAATCAGTGAACAGGTCAGGACTAAGGTGAGAGAGCTACATGGTGAGCAGAACAGTCTCTGATCAATAAGTAATACGAAGGCAAGCACTTAGGACATGTGTTTTGCAAATAGTAAGTGGGGAACTTAATATGCATAAATCTGGAGTCTAAAAATTAGTGAGATAAAGAGATGCAAGCCCAGGACCTTCAAAATACAAGCTAAACAAAATGGGTGTGGGGACACCTGGGGACAGAGACTGATCAGCCAATGGTAGAGAAGGCAGGTTGAGCTTCTAGCAAGATAACATTTGTTTAAAGGGTCCCGTACTTCCAAAGGGGTAAACCCTCCAAGATCCTTTTCTTTCATCTACCTTTTTCCTTACTGAGTAAAACACCTCCAGCTGCTTCCTAGGGACTCTTCCTTCTTTTCTTTTCAATAAACTTTTCACAAGTTCCTGTTAGCTGAGCTGCTTGACTTCGGTAAAACTTTGCTGAAATAAATTGTGTTATCATCTTGTATATTGGTCTCATACTTTAGGGTTGATAGAAAAAGTTCCTGGAGTTCAAATCAACTGTAACATATTCTACAGTTATGTCTCAGGGGAAGGCTTCTTAGATACTGCCTTTATTAATTCCAGGAACTGTGAATTAAAAAAAAAAAGTCAGCTTTCATAAATAATGCGAAGAGAAATAACACATTTTTAAGATGTTTAAAAAAAAAAAAAGCTCAGCATTGCTTGATGTTTCTGTTGTTCTGAGGTTCAGGTGAGGCAGAGGAGAGCTTGTCCCCGGGATGTGTGTAGCTTTCCTCAGCAGATTGGAAGCCTGCGAGCTGGACCTGGCCTCAGCTCCTTCAACAGTTAGGAGGGGTTTGTCTTCTGGTGAGATTTGCTTTGAAGACTTACTACAGAGGACCTAAACAGTCTTCAGTGTGGGGCTAATTATTGCTCCATTCCATGGGAAGACCTGATGTCTGTGCAGTGCCTCGTCAGGAGCTTTTCCAGTTTGGCTACGTCTTGCTGAAGGTCCGGCACTCTCTGAGTAATTCTTTTAGTGGCATCCAGGAGTTTCCTCATATAATGTGTGACAAATAGGGAATTCTCAACCATGTGCACCTGGGAATTCTTATTTCCCTCCTTTCTCTCCCTACTTCTCGGTCACATCCACACTAGCCACAGCTATCCGCTTGGGCCTTGGACCCTGTCTACTGAACTCATAGCACTGGATGGGCTGCATCAGGAGTCTTTCTTAGGCTGTGGTCCAAAGAGTCTCAAGTTGACAAGTTGAAACAAAAGCATATTTCATCCCCTCTTGTTCACTGATTCTAAGATATAATTGTGCCTTTTCCCCTCGACACCTGATGTATTGATCTCTGTTTTCAACATTTTGTGTGATTTTTTCCAATGGATTAAAGGAGGATTTTGAGAGGGAACATCCACTTCTTGCTATTCTTTCCTCAGAGGAAGTACTCAGGGAACTCAATTTGTTTTGTGAGCATTAGAACAGACTTTTTCATTCTGGGGCTAATAATCATCTTTTTTAAATTTGGGAAAATCTGCATATCTGAATCTCAGTATGCATGCAAACCAATTTTTAACCGAGTGTAAGAAGACACACATATTCTGAAGAACCTAAATGTTCTCTGCCTTTGTGATCTCTGCCTTATGGCTTGGCTCGGGGCTATGGGAACTCCAGGCCTGATGGTCTATGTGACACCTGGCAGGACACCTGCAGGTCACATAGGCAGAGCACTCCTCAGGAAGGAGGTCCCTGGTGTTAGACAAGACCCACCACCCTACAGTCCATCAGTGTGTACCTCTTGGAGTTGCTTGCTTCAGGCCCACCAATAGAAGCCTGCCTACTTGCTGTTTTTGAAAGTTAACAGTTAAAACTGACCAATCATGACTGTATAATTATATGGAATTGTCTTGAAAT